TGATAGTAGTAACTTAACTTTCAGGAGCAACTAATAGATTAACCTTTGTTTGTTTGTTTGTTTGTTTCTTGCTTGCTTGCTTGCTTTCTTTCTCGGCAGTGCTGGAAAAGGCTGCGCTATACTGTGATTGCTCCTTCTCAAGTGCTTTCTGGGTTGAATAATTTACATGGCACAATCTTAGAGCCGGCAAGCTGAATTTGATGTACGTGATGGGCAAACCCAAGGGCAGCATAATAGCATGCAGGAGAGGCAGAAGAAGTGGAGACAGAGAGGGATGAGTGAGTAACACCAGATAGACTATACGCCTCTGTCTTTCTCGCACATCATCCCTCACTGCTTATCTGCCAAGCGGGGGGACGTGCCTTTTGAACAAGCTTTCGCCGGTTAAAAAATCTATCTGACAAGCTGTTTTGGCATCTTATACCCCTGGGATACATTACAATTAATAAGTAAGGATGTGAAGGAGATGTCCAATGGCTGCTGTCAAACCTTGTCGTATGTGTATGTGCCCACAGCAATGGTAATAAGTTGTTCCCAAAAAAAAAAAATCATCAAACCTAATTGATATGGTGTGCCAATTAACGGTTTATGTATATATATATATATATATATTAGTGCTGCCAAACAATTAATCGTGATTAATCACATTCAAAATAAAAGTTTTTATTTACATAATATATATGTGTGTACTGTGTATATTTATTATGTATATATAAATACACACTCATACAGTATATATTTTGAAAATATTTACATGTATGTATTTTTATTTATATAATTTATATTGTGTATAAATATAATTAATATACAAATATAAAATTTTTCTTAAATATATACATGCATGTGTTTGTATTTATATATACATAATAAATATACACAGTACACACACATACATTATGTATAAAAAAATATTTTATTTTGAATGCGATTAATTGCGAGTTAATCATTTGACAGCACTAATGTATATATATGGGTGTGTGCTTGTTTCAAATATTGTATTGTATTCTACTCTACTCTTACCAAGGTTGCATTTATTTGATCAAAAGATGTGAAATATTATTACAATTTAAAATATGTATTTTCTGTTTTAATATATTTTAAAATGTAATGTATTCCTGTGATGGCAAAATTGAATTTTCAGCAGCCATTACATAGTCTCCCATTTTTCTTGGGTAAACTAGAATGTCCATTTAATGTCACATACAACAAATAGTGGTTGGCCTTTGCACGTCGGTTAGATGGTGACTTTTTGGTCTTTGTGGTCTAGACTTTATGGCATTAGATAAAAATCTGGTTGCACAAGACTATATGAATATAGACTTAAGGATAAATGTGGGGTTGAGTTTATGGAGATGTGGGGCTGAAATCAAAGCCAGTGGCTTCAGGTGTTACCTTCAGAAAGGTCTGACAGAATCAGCTCTGAGGCTGAGCTGTCTGAAACATGTTTTTCCTGAGATGAAAGCTCTTCTATGCTCCATACACATCTTAGCCAGGAAAGGTATGAGATAATCTGTTTGTTCTCAAAGAAGGGAAAAAGCACCATCAATGACTTCAAAAGCATCATTTTACTCTTGGCGCTGTTGCTGTGATCACATGACTCTCGGGAGCGACGGAGAGGTTGAGGAAGATGAAGGAGAATGTAGAATCTCCTCTCAAATGTCACATGTGGGAATGTGATCATCTGCATATTCTACTCGTTTGGCAGCAGGGATTCATCCATCCAAGAAAAACAAAACGTTCAAGACGGGCCACATTATGGAGCATTTGTTCAGTATACAAGATCAATATTAATACAATAGCTCAGGAGCCATCACAACAAATCCGGGTCGGAGTGAAACAAATATGTCAGAGTAAGTGATTGGTGGGGCAACTTTACTGAAGAAGAACTGTTTCAAATGAATAAGTTATGTCCTGGAGCAGGTGAGCTACATTTAAATGCATGTCATTTTGTCATTGGGAATTTACTTACAAAGATCATCTTTATTTCTCTCTTTCACTCGTTTCTTGGAAATTTGTTGATGGGCTGTAAGTACAAGTTCTGCCAGTAAGCAACTGTGGTTTCTTTGCATTGCTACACATTTTTATTAAATCCCACGTACAGTGTGCTGGCACCAACCTGAGATATTCTCAAATTGCGTTTAATAGTGGAGGCTGGCAGAAGGGGAAGTCAAGAAGCCCAATATGCTGCCAAGACCAGCGATAAATTTGCAGGCCTGTATGTTCGGGATGCAGAGGAAGAGTAGGGAGGGATTGGCTCGTCGTAATACATCTGTGGTAATAAAAAAATTATAAAGTCGGAGGGGAAACAGCTCAAACTTCGAAAAGGTCAGTAATCAAAAGTGTACAGATCACTGGCTGGTGAATCCCTGAGCAGGATGCGGTTTAATTAATGGAGCTTATTAGTGCTGGCTTTGTGCTGTAAAGCCATGAGCTGGGTTATCTCACACACATTATCAGATGGCTGGAATGGGATGGACATCGAGTGTGTGGTTACAACAGTTGGCCTGCATCCCAAATGAAACCAGATATGGATGAATACAGTAGCAAAAGACCATGAAAACATTCTAATCTACCTTATTTAAGCAATAAAATGTATTTGGGTCTTTCAGTGACAAATCTGTACTTGACTTTTCAATCAGGAAGATTTAAAATATTCAAGAAGCAATTAAAATTTCTTAATATGGTATAACCCTGCTTTCATATTTTACAATTATTTTTTTATTTATGCATTTTACTGTGTGAATGCAAAATGAGCACCGAATGATATAAATAATTTAACAGTTTGTCCCTCTATTTCATTTAATTGTTGTCATCAGTGTTAAAACTATAGTATTCGGAAAGTACATTCAAAGTGCTCCCCAGATCAATGTTAATTAGAAGACAAAGCTGTTTATATTTGCCATATTTTCTTACCATACTAGAAAAAGTTTAGTTTGAAACACAATGTGGTTTAGGTTCTTTTGATGACATCTTAGAAAAAGTATATTTTATTAATACAATCAAAAGTCAAGTTGTTCTTTATAATTAGTAATATGATAATTTGTAATCATTTATAATGCTCATCAGCAGTGCTGGGTAGTAACTGATTATATGTAATCTGGATTATGTAATCAGATTCCAAAAATTATGTACTTGTAATTAGATTATATTACATTTTAAAATGCTCATAATCATATCAGTTACTTTTTTTAATGAATTACATGATTACATATTATTCACACAATGGCAGCAATTTATTTATAATTTATTGATTTTCATTTTTAAAGTTCCCGTTCTAAAAATCCTACTGTGTCATGCCATTTGGCTTTGAAAAGCTTAATGTTTAATGCATTTTATGATGTTGATATCAAAGAATGAAATATATTTTCTGTCTCTGTGCTTTTTTATATCAATGTGGTTAGATGTAGATGTAGTTTAATTTAATTTAAGTTAGATAAAAAGTAATCTAAAAAGTAGTCAGAATAATGAGTAACCTAAATTAGGTTACTAACTGCGATTTTCATCATGTAATAAAGATTAATGAACTACAATTTGTAAGTAATCTACCCAGCACTGTTTATCAGGTTTAAAGGTTCAAAACAGAACCCAACATGACCCCTTTCCTTTCCTTTCCTTTCCTTTCCTTTCCTTTCCTTTCCTTTCCTTTCCTTTCCTTTCCTTTCCTTTCCTTTCCTTTCCTTTCCTTTCCTTTCCTTTCCTTTCCTTTCCTTTCCTTTCCTTTCCTTTCCTTTCCTTTCCTTTCCTTTCCTTTCCTTTCCTTTCCTTTCCTTTCCTTTCCTTTCCTTTCCTTTCCTTTCCTTTCCTTTCCACAAGAATATGTAATTAGAAAATCAGCATTGTATTGTTGTCACAACCTTGAGCACACCTTATATACCATACTTTACAATTATTGCCTCTGAGTGTTCTCATACATATTAATGATTTAATTGATGTAACAGGCCTTTTTTCCTTGGCACTTTTTCTTGTGTGGTTGAGCAGATAAAGTGAATCTCCAGGTTTGCTGTGTCGGCAGTCATTCATCACTCCTTCTTTTAAGAAAATGCAGATAGTGGCGTTCCCCTCTCTCCCTGGTCTTCCAGGTAATTGTCAGAGAGACGAGCTCTGCGGGAGGTGAAAGCTCAGGCCCTTAGTGATGCTACTTGAGCTGTCAAGCAAGACTAGCAGATAAATTTAGGTGCTTCATCCATTTTTAAATGCAATGACTGACTAAAAGGTTTAGGTGAGAATGATATTGCTCACATGTGATGTAGAGGCAAAAATAGGAAGCTGGATGTGCACTGAACTCATCCGGGACTTTGTTCAAAATATACTTTTTGTTTAGCTGGGATATCTAGAGTATATTCAGAATGGAAGCTGCTAGGGTTGGCAGATATTCACACATTTTATTCTTATTGTTATTTCTCTTGGTAGGTGTTGCGAGGTCTTACAATTTAGGCACTTCTGCCAATTACTAATTCTTGCCCCATTAACATTAATAGTTCCATAGAACGCAACAGCAAAATTGAGCGAATGACTCGGTTGAGTAAATGATTCAATGACTCACTCATAAAGACTGTCAGTTGTTTCTTTTACGAATGCATCTGTGTTTTTGAAAGAATTAGTTGAGTAAATGATTCAATGACTCACTCACAAGGACAGTCTATTTATTTATTTAAATTAATTAATTTGGTGTAACACTATAACCGGTAGAAGAAGTCTATGAAAACCCATGAGGCATTTATGTGTAAATTTCGATAGTAAGATCTTTTTTTATAGTTTTTTTTTATTTTATTTCTGAAGTCAAAAAGTTTTTATACTGAGGAGAAGTTTTTCATTGTACATCAAGCTCATTTATTTGATTCCTTATGATATGACCCCATTATTATCCAAATAATCCAGTCATCAGACATATATTTCTTTTGTCTTGGGCCTTATTGGCCATGCAGATTCTAAGTATGGGTTTGTCCATCACTCCTTTTATGCATGTACTTTGCAAATTAGACTTATTCTGTGTATTACAGATTCCAGAAAATTCCGAAGACTCTATGTTCCAGCTCTGACGCGGCTCACCTTCCCCTCTCGATTACTCACTTAAATCCCTTCCTTCACCTCATCAAGAAGCGTATGAATAATAAATCATCTTTAAAATTTGATTCTGGAGTATTACGCTGAAGCACAATGAGAATCTTTTACCGGTTTGAACGTGAGTGGATTATCCAACTGTCTTCCATCGTTTGCGCTATGAAAGAAGGCGGTAAGCGGAACTTTACAGAGCGGATCAACAGGAAACAGAGCTTTACAGTCAAATGTTTGCTTATTTTAGAAACGGATAAGCTTGCTTCAAATTTAATTTTGAAGTATATTTATGCGCCAAGCTAAGATAGTGTAAAATTAGAGCCCTGGTTTAGCCTAAATAGAAAAGGAAGTGCAATTAAGGCTGTTTTTTATTGAATATGTCTACGTTGATCAGTCCTACATGGCCTCTCGGCGAATACGTGAGATAACTTGGCCGTAAATACAAACTCTTCGACCCAACCGCACAGCAAAACAACTATATATAATATCAGGCAGGATTTGTTAGAGTAAAACAGGCTGCTGGGGATGGTGTGTACTGTCAGCATTCATTTGTGCAGCAGTATCCCTGCACTGGGCCGGCCCACACCTACAATCTCTTCACATGAATAAAAAATGACATTTCAATTTATCTTTGTTGTTACGTTCTGGCCCTTGCATACTGATTTTCTATGTTTCAGGGAAAATGAAGCGGTGGAAAAACAGAACAGAATCTGCCAGGGAACTCGCAGTGCTTTCCTTGAATAAGAATCAAACGTTAATCTACCAGTCGGGAGGACGCATTATTGCTTTTTTTCAGTTCACATAAAAGGTGTTTGAGATGAGATTGGACGAATGGTATGTTTTACCATGCGTGAAAATGGAATACGTTGAAAGTTACGCACGCATTCTAGTGGAGGAAATGTCTGAACCGCTGTGAAATGCAGAAATGAAAACTATTACTTCCCTGGATTGGCCATTTGCATTCCTCTTGCTTTTTTTTTTGAGGCTATTGAGCCAGTTCTGCTCTTTCATTTCCCCCTTCTTCAGAATGAATGGAATGTCCTTTTATCAAATAAATCAACCCTGCGGATTAAATTCTCTCTGGGGACTCTTGTAGTATGTGTCCTGCTGGTTATGAATTCCTGGCAAAGACACAGGTGCTCTTGACCCAACACAAGACAAGCGGTATTCAGACGCCCAAATTACCGCCTGCCCAAACCAACAGGATCTGCCCCCGCCAAGTCATTTGCATTTTTAAAAGAGACACATTAATCAATGCTTTGTGGACCTGCGCTGGCACATTCATCTTCCTCTCCTAAACAACAAATAATGCACATCAGGATGAAACTGCACACATATGACACATGTATACATAAAAGCAACTCATTTGCATTCCATTAGCATACTGAAATGATCCATTTGACACATTCATTCAATATAATTTGGTTGGGGGTGGTCCATTATGCTTTCATTGTGGAGTTCAACAGATGATTTTGTGTACAGGCATGCTTTGTGGCCTGTTAAGTGCTGAATGTTGTTAGCTCATTGTGAAAAATGCCTCACACATTCACTTTATATACCCAGCATTAAGTACACATACTTTTTGAAGTACTGTTATGATTGCATATCTGTTTGTTAAACTTTATCACTGGACTGTTTTGCGTTGTTGTTTTTTTGTTTCGTTTTATTTCGGGGGTTTTTTGTCTCAGGGCCAGAAATGATTATTAGTCCTGTAACAGCAATTACTCTTAGAGTTATGATGTAATATCATCAATATAATTTACTAAACTTTGACCTCTTGAACAAAGTAAAATAAACACAAAGAACATGAAGAATTTATTTTGTACACATTTTAAGATATAAAGTCAGAAATGTGAAACATAAATTTCAGAAATTCAGAGGAGAAAAAGTCAGAATTGCAAGATATAAACTCAGAAAAGTAAAAAAAAAAAAAAAATTGAATTTTGTGTTATGCAATTCTGATTCATCTCAAGATTCTGATTTTGTTTTTCTCAGAATTGCAAGATATAAATGTACAATTATTTGGAAAAAAATCTGAATTGTAAGATATAAAGATTAAAATATTATATTATAAAAAAAAACAAGATTATAATATAATTTTATCATTTTTAACATATGAGATTAAAAAACATGTGTGAGATGTACACTCAATTCTGAGGGGAATGTTTAGACTTTTTGGGTTTCCAATTTTTTATTCAAATGGTTGAATGTAAGCTGCAGCATACCTTGTGTTATAGATAGTTTATATAATACTTAGAATTATAAAAAAAATAGTAATGAATTTCTCTCTCTCTCTCTCTCTCTCTCTCTCTCTCTCTCTCTCTCTCACTCTCTCTCACTCTCTCTCTTATATAGTATACTGTACAGACTTTTAATGAGAGGTGTTATAATGGTGGTATTTGCTAAAGTTAAAATGGGGAGCAAGATTTTGGGATTTTCTTGCCAGACTTTTCCAAAATGCTTTCGCTGCCCATGTAGTGGGTTAAACTCTGAGAGGTAATAGTTGTAGTTTAGAGCCCCACAAGAGTTGATCCATGACCTAACGTTATTGTGCCTTTGAGCAAGGCACTTAATCCCATGTTGCCCCAACAGGATTTTTCCTGTAATAAGTGTGCACTTTTGGATAAAAATGTCTGCTACATAACTTCTTATTATTTCAGTAAGGAAAGCATGGTTTGATAAAAGAGTAAATAATGATGGGACAAGCAGAAATATAGTAGTACGGCTGTTAAAGAGCAATAAAAAGTTTATTATAACAAGCACATGTGAATACTTCAGTCATTGTAACTTATCATTCCCAGATCTTGAAATGCACACTTGATTGATTTGATCCTTTGCAAGGAACATAAACATTTATATCTTCTGTGGTTTTCATCCAGTTTCCTTCCAAAGTGGATCCAGTACAGTGTCATTCATTGACTTGCTCGGTCAGTAGTTTTCCTGCTGGTGCACAGGGAACCTGATGCAATTACTAAGCCATGTTAAATTAAGCACTGCATTTGTGCAATCAATCACCAGCCAGAGGGCGTCTCTCAAGAATTCATTAAAATACGCAAACAATCGTTTAAACATGGCTGCAGCTTATCTGCTGTCTTTCACGCTAACATTAGATGTCTGCATTCAAAGGAGCCTGAATGACGGAGCTAAAACACTCGGGGACGCGTGAGAGGACACACACAGCTTCTGCTGCACACAGCTTCCCATCATGTTGTCTGGATTTGCATATATGTATGTCAAATGCAAGGCCTTGAATCATTTAGAAACTAGGAGAATGTAATCCCTATGAGAGGACGAATAATATATATTTTTCTGGATAAAGTGCTGTACGTTTTCATTATCATTATAATAATCGTTAATACTTTTTTCTTCCACTTTTTTGAGTGTGGTAGAGTGTGCAATTTTTCATTGCAATAATCAAAAATGTGAAAATATTCAATTAATAACATTACATTTTCTTCCTTTAATAGGAATCTCAATGCTATTTTAGTTCATTCTGTTTTGTGTGTGACACTTTTATCTGCAAATGCTCTAAAATATTCATAGCGGCTCACTGTGGTGTGCTGCAATACATTATGGCCAATATATTGTAGATGTTTTACATTTTCTGTCAGTGTTGAAGTGTTTAACTGAAGAATGTAGACATGTATATTTCTTCTGTGGTGCATGAGAGCTTTCAGAAATGGTGAATAATGCTGTATCATGTGCGTAACACATGGTTCCCAGCTGACATCTGTGAACAAAGTACTTTATTATCTCAGACCCCTGCAGTACCGGAATGCATCACTCCTTTGTGCAGAGCAGAACTCCTTTCCTATGTAAATCCCAACACAACACAACACAACACGCAACAGAGGCTGTTAATTGGTCTAAAAATAAACCATAAAGGTAAAGACTGTGTAGATACATACTGTATATCAGCATCACTTTTGGTACCTTTTTGACCTCTGTAATGTCTTAGAAATAATGCATGCATTGTTATTAAAGAGAAAATAGACTTTTATAAGTGTGCCCTGGTCAAGCTCAGTCAGTTTAATTAGCTTGATTATTTACGGCATCCAAATAAGTAAGAAAAGGTTCCTTGCTAAGGAGAATTATGGGTAATCATTATCTCATTTGACCTCTCAGACAGCTCTTACACACCAACAAGGTCCAGTTCATTAAAAATGTTCTCCAGTGGTTTTGTAGATCTTGATTAAAACCACGTTATTGAATTATCAGACTATGTTCACAGCTTAGACTAAATACTTTAATATTCAGAGCTTTGACTGAATATTGCTTTAAAATTACAGGTGTATTTTGTGAGAATTAAATATTGCGGAGACATTGTAGAAACATTAAAACATGCATGCTGTTAATTAGTGCATGTTGTGAAGCAATGCATCATGGGTGCTTTATCTACTGATAGAGGGATATGAACACACCCACATTAATGTGAGCTGCATTAAGTGACATACGGCTAATGAGGTTTTAAAGATCCACTCAATTTTTCCTCAGTATTTTATTATTATTTTTTTTTTTTAAATAATGAATAATACTTTTGAAAAATGTTCAATTGTGTTTGTTCACATGAGACTCCATTCCATGCAATTTGACTTTACATGGAGCTGGTCACCTCATAAGCGCTGACATGTTGGATCACATGATCTGAATTACTGCTCATTATATCAGCTCATCCATGTTTATGTTACGGCATAATAAACATTCAAAATTCTGAGAATTGCGAGATATATTGTAAACTCCGACTTATTTTTTTCTGTGTTTACAACTCACACTTTTTTCCTGCCATGGAATAAGAAATAAAAAAAGGTAATTGCAACTTTTTATCTCATAATTCTTTCTTTTTTAATCTTGCGATTCTAACGTTATATCTCACAATTCTGACTTTTTTCTCAGAATTGTGCTTTTATATCTTGCAATTCTTAGAAAAATAGAATCATGTACGGTGGCCGAGAGAGCTCAACGCCCTGCAACTTCAGAAAACACATGCAAATAGAAAAAGCACCAGCAAATCAAGAAAACAT